TCAGCCGCCATTAACAGGTCCATCCTGTGAGCTGTGTGTGGTTCAGGAGGTGATCAGTGACAGTGTGTGTGTGTGTGTGTGTGTGTGTGTGTGTGTGTGTGTGTGATCAGTGAGTCATTAAGAGTCACAGGAAGGAAAATGTCTGTGGAGAGGAAGGAGGAAGGAGACAAACGGAGAGATTTAGCGATGAGATGGAGGGAAGCACAGGGGAGGAACTCTGTGTGTGTGTGTGTGTGTGTGTGTGTGTGTGTGTGTGTGTGTGTTGGATCTTTCGATGAGCTCGTTCAGGTGATGACAGTCAGACTGTGTTAACAGTGTTTTCTGTTTTTACCGACGGCGGGTAAATCACTTGTTTTCTGTAAAAATCATTGAACTTATTGATCTGGTTCCTGCTGAACGGGGTCAACCTTCGTTCTAAAAGTTTTTTTTTTGTCCAGAAGAAACACTGAACAGATTCACGGACAGAAATAAATGTGGATATAGTTTTAAAAACCAGGGTCAGAAAGACTGTAACTGGTCAAAAACTGTCCTCTCTGAGGTCCTCTGATAGGATTCAGCTGTTAGACGTCAAAGTAAGGAAACCTCCGTATGAGCAGACAGAGCCAATCGCCTTCGTTTAGGTTTTCCAAAGACTTCCCTCCTTTGACCAGAGGAGGCGCTAAGACGGCGGTCTCTCAAAGCAGTTTTAAAAACATGAATGAACCACATGTGGGTAAAATGAGTTAAAATACCTTCAAGTAAAAATCTGTTTATTTTCTGTTTCTAAGTAAACAAACAAAGTCCTCGCTCAGCGCCGTCAGAGACCAGGTCCTCTGTTGGTGATATAAGTAAGAAACCTGTGTGTGTGTGTGTGCGACCTGAACTGACCTTGTTTTCAGTGTTTATCCTGCCACTTTCTTCAGGTCCTCAGTGATAACACACTCAGCCTGAGGGGACAGAAGCTCAACAAGACTGCAGTGACCCACACACACACACACACACACACACACACACACACACACACACACACACACACACACACACACACACACACACACACACACACACACACACACACACACACACACACACACACACACACACACACTCACACACACACACACACACACTCACACTCACACACACACACACACACACACACACACACACACACACACACAGTGCTGACAAGTCGACCTGCCCCACTGCCAAGTCTAATTAGCAGCAGCAGCATCAGGAGGCCGTCGTTTTGGTCAAAATTAATTTACCAACAAACTTTTTAATCAAATTTCTGCTCGGCTCCTGAAGATGGAGGCGAGGACGGAGCGGCTCGGCCCCTGAGGACGGAGCGGCTCGGCCCCTAAGGACAGGGTGGCTCGGCTCCTGAGGACGGAGCGGCTCGGCTCCTGAGGACGGAGCAGCTCGACCCCTGAGGACGGAGCGGCTCGGCCCCTGAGGACGGAGCGGCTCGACCCCTGAGGACAGAGCGGCTCGGCCCCCGAGGACGGAGCGGCTCGGCCCCTGAGGACGGAGCGGCTCGACCCCTGAGGACAGAGCGGCTCGGCCCCCGAGGACGGAGCGGCTCGGCCCCTGAGGACAGAGCGGCTCGACCCCTGAGGACGGAGCGGCTCGGCTCCTGAGGACGGAGCGGCTCGACCCCTGAGGACGGAGCGGCTCGACCCCTGAGGACGGAGCGGCTCGGCCCCTGAGGACGGAGCGGCTCGACCCCTGAGGACGGCCCCTGAGGACAGAGCGGCTCGGCCCCCGAGGACGGAGCGGCTCGACCCCCGAGGACGGAGCGGCTCGACCCCGAGGACGGAGCGGCTCGGCCCCCGAGGACGGAGCGGCTCGACCCCTGAGGACGGGGTGGCCCGGTCTCCTCAGACTCAGAGTCGTGGTTCAGTAGCGGTATGGAGGGCGGGGTTTTCTCGAGGAAAAATGACCCTTCAGCACAGCTTAGAGTTTGACCGAGGCCCAAATCTCCGAGTCCGTCTGCTGAGGAACGTCTCTAAGATCTCAGACCTTCATGGTCAGTTTTCCTGATGAAGAAGAGCGTCCTCTTCATCACTCTTAGTCCTGACGTCACAGTGAAGACGATCAGTTCCGGTCTGAGATGGAGAAGATCTCCTCAGTTTGATGTTTGACTGTCTGATCTGAACACCTCGGATAACTGCAGTGAGGTCAGAGGTCAGAGGTCAGAGGTCAGTTTACAGTCTTTACATTTCCTCTGTTCAGGTTCAGAGACGTGTTTTTGACGGACACGAGGACACGGGTTCCATTTGGGACTCTAGAAGAACCTTCTGAGGCGACGAGGACCTTTGTTGAAGTTCTGTTTTTATTCTCAGCCATGACACATGAGCAGAGGATCATGGGAACGCAGCAGCAGCTCTACCATGAGACCCTCCTCTCAGGAGGTTTTTGTGGACTTCAGGGTCTGATGTCTCAGACGGGTTGAACTGGACTCTGTTGGTTCTGACTGAAGCGGATCTTTCTCTCCGATCGTAGAAACAGTAAATAATGAACTCCGTCTTCTCCGTCCAAACCGCCGTCTCTCCTCGCTGTTCTCCATCAATCTTCGCTCTGAGAGTCGGGGCAGAAACGGACCGGCTCCTCACCTCGGAAACCTTTTGATTACCCGTTTCCCTCCGACGCCACGTGAGCCCAGGACTGCCAACCTCATGAGCGACACGCCATTAAGGAATTTCTAAGGAGTGGTCTGCGGGGCTGCGCTCTGCCCTCTCTCCGTCTCTCGCCGTCTCTCTCCGTCTCTGTGATTAATTTCCAAACTAACTTGTTTATCGTCCTCTCAGCCCGAGTGGTCGGCAGAATAGATCCTTTTCCTCGCCACTCGGCTGACTTCACTTTGACTTTGAAAACGGCGGGGAATTATTCATCGGCTGTCTCCGTCCTCCACTTTACATTTCCTGGGAGCAGAGCGGCGCTATCTCAGCCTCGCCGCTCTCTTTATTTCCTCTTTCACTCATTTTACACTTCAAGCTGTCTTGACCTTTCTCAAAGGAGCAGATGAGGAGGCCGCCGCCGCCGCCTCCTCCGCCGAGAGGAGCGTTTACTCCTAAAGATGGGTCCGAGCCGCTCGTCTCTCTGGGATGTCACAGAGACGGACTCAGAGGACACTCAGGGTTGGGGGTGAGAGTCCACTCCACCCGATTATGACGGAGGAACAGAGAGAGAAACACGAAGAACAGAAGGAAACACGTCCGACACGCTCGCAGGAAAACACGGCGATCAGGAGAAACCGGGGCTGTGAGTGAAGGTCAAAGGTCAAAGGTCAAAGGACGAACGTCTTATAAACGTACGAACTAAAACACGTCCGTAAATGAGCGAAGTAGTGATGCACCGATCTGATGTTTGGATCTGATATCTGAAGAATGGCGCCGATCCAGCGCTCCGATCCAGCGCTCCGATCCAGCGCTCCGATCCAGCGCTCCGATCCAGCGCTCCGATCCAGCGCTCCGATCCCGCCTCTTTTTCTTCTTCTTTAGTTCATATCAAACACAGACACACGGCGGTTCTGCTGACGGTCCTTCTGCACTAAATCAGGGCGACACCATCGTGTGCGAGATCGTCACATGACAGAGTCTGCGATGAGGTGAACGAACTCGTCTCATCTCAGCTGACTGACATACGCTCCATGTGCAGCGATCCACCAATCACGTTTGTTCTTTACTCAGATATCAGCCGTCAATCAGAATCAGAGCGGAGGAAACCACGCCCCTGCCCATGGAGCGAGTCGCTGCTGCTGTCGGTGTGGCGCCGACAGACGCGTGTCCGCTGAGAATGACTTCGTCTAATCAGAACTGTTCGGGTTTAACTCGTACGTTTCTGTGCTCCACTCGACTGTTAGCGTTTCTGCGAGGTGGACGCAATCCTCGGCACGACACCGGTAACCACGACAACGACTGAAAAACGAGAAACGAAACAGAGAAAACCACCGAAGATGAAGACTTGGTGACGAAAAGAAAATCAACGTCAGTTATCGAGAATTATCTCGGTTCTAAGAAGGATGACGTCGACTAAAACACGTGTTCTGTGTTCATCTGTTTCCACGGTAACGTCCAGAACAATAACAACTAAAACTGTCTCAGAGACAGAAGACAGTCGACTAACATTCACCAAAGAGATTAAAGATTAGATTAACGAGACTGAAGTCGATCCTGAAGCCGTCACTCTCAGCTCATCAATAAAACTGCAGTATTGGATCGGTATCAGATATCGGTACCGGATTGGACTGGAAAAATGGATCGGTGCGTCTCTAATACAAACTAAAGTCAATCCTGTGAAACATTTAGAGGTTTAGAGTCGCTGCAGGTCTGGACTGTCCAGTTCCAGGTCTTCAGAGGACCGTGTGCCGCTCTGGACAGCGCCGTGTTGACTTCCTGTCTGGACTGGATCTGTGAAACCTGGACCAGACGGTCTCTCACACAGTCATCCGGTCTCTCGGGGTCAAAGCGACAGTAAACTGTGTCATCCATCTGAAACCCCCTCATCGACCCGCGGCCTGAACCGCGCTGCCTAATTACTATTATTAATTGGAAATTGGAAATCAATAACTCTGAATTAAACACAAGCCTGTGTGCGTCTGTAAGTGGGTCAACGGCCCGCTAATAACTCAGCTGAGCGGGACAGGAGGAGAATCACTCACACACGGGTCAGCCGAGTGGAAATACAGAAACTGAACCGTAGAACTGAAACAAAGACGGGTCTGAAGAGGATCTGGGAACATGGATCAGACCTGAGGAGACCCAAACCTGTGGAGACCCAAACCTGGTCTCCTCTGTAAACACGGTGTGTGATCGTCTGTTCATTCAGTCCCATCAAAGTTTGACTTCATCTGTTTTTATTCACGTCTTACAAACTAAGAGTTCCTGAAGGACGATGACGGGAGGACGTCTGAGGAGCATCTCAGAGTTTAATATCAAACATTCAGCGAGAGAGAGAGAGAGAGAGTGAGAGAGAGAGAGAGAGAGAGAGGGAGAGAGAGAGAGAGAGAGAGAGAGAGAGAGAGAGAGAGAGAGAGAGAGAGAGAGAGAGAGAGAGAGAGAGAGAGAGAGAGAGAGAGAGAGAGAGAGAGAGAGAGAGAGAGAGAGAGAGAGAGAGAGAGAGAGAGAGAGGGAGAGAGAGAGAGAAAGAGAGAGAGAGAGAGAGAGAGAGAGACGGTTTAATGAAACAGAGTTTGAAGAGAAGAAGACGACTGTGAAGGACTGATGAACCGTTCATCGATAAAACCTTCAGAACTGCTCAAATTACTACTAAAGTACTTCAGTCTTTACTAATTACTACAGTAGTTTATTAATTAATCTATCAAACCTTCATAACTTCAGTCTTTACTAAATTACTACAGTCGTTTATAATCTGGACTGACTGCAGACGTCTTCCTCTCATCATTTTTAATATTTATACTGTGTTTAAAAAAATATACCTCATGTACAAAAAAACTAACCTCTGATATAACAACACACACACACACACACACACACACACACACACACACACACACACACACACACACACACACGTGTATAGCCCGGTCTCTTATCTCTCCTCACGTTCTCATCAGTCTTTATATAAAAGTGTCCAATAAAAGCTCCTTCTGGAATTTTTGTACTTGGCCAATATAGCTGGTTCTGGTTCTGGTTCTGGTTCTGGTTCTGGTTCCTATAGAGTCAAAGCTGCAGCAGAGGTGAACACAGAGCCTCCATCATTATTATTATTATAATTATGATTATTATGTTGAATCAGACTTATTTCAGCTCCTCAGACTTTAGATCCTGAACTCTAAACTCTGAAGTCGTCTCAGTTTTGAGAAATGAAACATATTGACAGTATTTTGTAAAAGAGGAAATTTAAACTCTGTGAAAACATTAAAGATGTCAGAGTAATAATAATAATAATAATTATTATTATTTATTTATAATTATTATTAAGAGTTTCTGCTCGTTCACCGTGACAGTGGAGAGTTTCTCTCATCTGTACTTTCAGGTGTTTCAGGCTCAGCTTCAGTGAACAGCTGACTCCTGAGCGCCGCCGCCGCCATCACAGACTTTTATCACTTAGATTTTGGAGGTGAAAGTGGCTTACAACAGGAAATCACTCGCCCCCGCTGCCGCCGCCGCTGCTTTTCTAAAGTATTGTTTACTGGTTTGTCAGGGGGGCAGAGCGTCTGTCTGATGAAAATAGTTTGTAGTCCTGCAGGCCGTGGGGTCCTGAATAAAGCGCCGGCGATCCTCCGGCTGCAGAGGGAAGTAGAAATGATCCGTCTTCATGACTGTTTTTCAGAGGCGGAGCTCAATGAGCCTGTTCCACTTAAACTCCCGTCTGTGTTTGAGTTTCATCACTGCGAGTGTTTCTGAAAAACTCTTTTCCACCTCAGCCGTAAAATAATGAGCCGACCGAACGGCGTTTCCAGGAGCTGCTGCGGCGGCGGCGGCGGCGGCACAGGAGCCGCTCAGCTCCGAGTTAAAGAAGGAGCAGCAATTTGTTTGGAATAAATATAAGAGTCAGTTTTTAATAATAGATGTTATTGAGTTTGTGCCTGTAGTAAACACACACACACACACACACACACACACACACACACACACACACACACACACACGCAGTGACGGCTTATCACAGACACCAGGAAAAGAGGAGGAAGATTTCTGCTCCTCCACACGCCGCCGACCGCCACCGAGAGGAATAATGAGTGCATGAGGCTGTGGGCTGTGCACGAGAGTGCACGAGTGTATGTAAGTGTGTGTGTGTGTGTGCACGAGTGTATGCCAGTGTGTGAGAGTGTGCATGAGTGTAAATGTGAGTATGAACGTGTTCTCTTCGATTCGATCATATCAGATTAGATAAATTTGGATTAGATTAGATTAAATCAGATTAGATTAGATTACATCAGATTAGACTAGATCAGATCAGATTAGATTACATCAGATTAGATTAGATTAGATTGAATTACAAACCGTCAGTCTGGTCTCTGATGATCCTGTTTGCTGTTTGGATTCATAAAAAGGTGTTTATATTTCAGTCTAATTTATACCTGTTAAAAAACTCCCTATAGGAGCTTTAATGAGGTTCTGCAGAGAGGACGTCCTCACAGGTTAGACTACAGTTGTGATGGTCTCTGTGGTTCTGTGTCAGGTCTACTCTCCAAAGTTCAGTCAGTTTTACTTTTAGACTTTCTCCACTCATGATCAGCATCTCAGGCCGAAGTTTACGTTTATATGGAGTCCTCAGGCTCAGATTTAGTCCAGAGAGAAGATTCGACCACAAAAAGGAGAAGAAGTGAATAAATGTGGAGCTCAGCGATTCAGGATGATGTTCGTCTGACTGAGGAGGTTCTGAGTTATAAGGTTTGGTTTCAGTCTTTGTGATAAACCAACACTGACCTGCTGCAGGTGGATTTAGTCTCAGGACTAACTCTAGTCTCAGGACTAACTCTAGTCCCAGTCCTGCTCTGTGTGTCGGCCTCTTATTTAGACTCTAATAAACAGAATCAAACCCCCTGAAGCTCAGAGTCCAGCCTCCCTGACCAGGACCTGAAACAGACTCTTTGGATCAGAACCATCCACCCTCAGACAGCTGCTGTGATTTTATCCACTCAGCACTTTCCCTCCTCGCTCCATCAGCCGCTCCATCAGGTCCTCAGGAGAAGGTTTCCTCTCATCATGTAAAACTCAGATCCACACAGACGCGTCTCTTTCACTGCTGCTGTAGTTTGATTGGCTCAGACTAAATCATTATAACCTTGGGCTTCACCCCGTGTCTCTATTGATCACTGAAATTTAGCAGGTTTGATCGATGAGACTCTCTCATCTTTCAGAAGTTAGTGAGCAGCGGTGGAGAGGGATGAATAAACGTATAAACACATAAATATAGACAAATATATATAAACATCAGAGTAAAACATGTTTATTAAAATTATTATATTTAATCACATTTAAACACATAAATCAAATATGACAAATTGATCATAGTTCATAATTCTCATATCCATCATATTATCAAATTATTCACAGATTTTATTTATTGATTATATTTCATCACATTTTATTACATCAATAATGTTTACAGTATTTATCATATTCATCTTCTCTATCATATTTGATTATTTATCATATTGATCATATTGATGATATTTCGTCACATTGATCATATTTCATCACATTGATCATATTGATCATATTTCATCACATTGATCATATTGATGATATTTCGTCACATTGATCATATTGATCATATTTCGTCACATTGATCATATTTCGTCACATTGATCATATTGATCATATTTCGTCACATTGATCACATTGATGATATTTCATTACATTGATCATATTGATGATATTTCATCACATTGATCATATTGATGATATTTCATTACATTGATCATATTGATGATATTTCGTCACATTGATCGTATTGATCATCCTGGTGTCCTCCTCTCAGATGGAGGTCTTCTCTCTCTCTCTCTCCCTGAAGCTCTGACGGTCTAAACTCCGGTCACAGCTGTACTTTTGTGTTCATATTCAGATCAGGAACATTTTCTCTTCAGTTCCTGTTTGTCGGAGTTTTTCTCGGGGACAGACCCTCTACTTAAACCAAAGCCATCAAATCTCCTTTTCTTCTGTCCGAACTCTCCCTGAAATTCAACAGCGGAGGTAAAATTTGACCACTTTACTGGAAAATAGGAGCGGGTCTTTCCTCCGGAGTTTCTGTGTGAGAAATAAAGGAGAGAGAAAAGTGAACATTTGGTCTGACAGACGACACCGACAGGAGGAAACTGAAAATAAATCACCATCCCGCTCTCTGCTCTCCTGGAAAATGTCGTAAAACTCCGAAAAAGTCCTCCAGTCCTCCTTTAGCATACAGCAGCAGATCCTTCAAGACCTGAGAGTTCCCAGATGGGCCCTCCATGGATCAGACTTGGTTCCACAGATGCTGGATCAGACTAAGACCTGGAGACAGAGCGACCAGCGTGAACTTCTGACCACCTTCTCCTGATGCTCATGGAGAACAGGCTCCATCTGAAGTTTCCAAACATCTCCAAACGTAGAAATGTTACCTTCATCTGTTTGAGGAGCTCTTCTTCTTCTTCTTCTTCTTCTTCTTCTTCTTCTTATCATGGGTCTGAGAAACCAGACGATTCTGAAGTGCTCAAACCTGCAGTACCCCAAACGTCCACCAGAGGCTGTCAGACTCTGTTCACTCTAAATAAATACAGAGGTCTAGCGCCGGGTTCAGGTCTCTCTCTGAACTGGATTTCCTTACATCAGTTTTAACGTCTCATGGTTGTGAGCTCGGCAGACCCAGAGGTACAGCGGGAACCGTGACTCCGCCCCCTTAGTCTCTTACGGTTGAGTTCGGTTGAGTCGAAATTTCCATGATGGCGACGGCTGTAAAAGACTTCGAACCGCGACACAGAGATGACATCCATGTTTGGGGTCAGGATTAGGGTTCACGTTCGTTAGGCGATTAGGGTTAGGTCTAGGATTAGAGTCAGGCTTAAGTTAAGGGTTAGGATCTATGGGTTTTAGGCGGGTTAGGGTCTGGATTAGGTTAAGGGTCAGGATTAGGTTTAGGGTCAGGATTAGGTTTAGGGTCAGGTTTAGGTTTAGGTTCGGGTTTAGGGTCAGGATTAGGTTTATGTTCAGGTTTAGGGTCAGGATTAGGTTTAGGGTCAGGTTTAGGGTCAGGATTAGGTTTAGGGTCAGGTTTAGGGTCAGGATTAGGTTTAGGTTTAGGGTCAGGTTTAGTGTCAGGATTAGGTTTAGGGTCAGGCTTAGGGTCAGGTTTAGGGTTAGGATTAGGTTTAGGTTTAGGGTCAGGTTTAGGGTTAGGATTAGGTTTAAAGTCAGGATTAGGTTTAGGGTCAGGATTAGGTTCAGGTTTAGGGTCAGGATTAGGTTTATGTTCAGGTTTAGGGTCAGGATTAGGTTTAGGTTTAGGGTCAGGATTAGTTTTAGGTTTAGGGTCAGGTTGAGGGTCAGGTTTAGGTTTAGGGTCAGGTTTAGGGTTAGGTTTAGGGTCAGGTTTAGGGTTAGGATTAGGTTTAGGGTCAGGATTACGTTTAGGGTCAGGGTCAGGTTTAGGGTTAGGATTAGGTTTAGGGTCAGGTTTAGGTTCAGGATTAGGTTCAGGTTTAGGTTTAGGGTCAGGTTTAGGTTTAGGGTCAGGGTCAGGTTTAGGGTTAGGATTAGGTTTAGGGTCAGGTTTAGGGTCAGGATTAGGTTCAGGTTCAGGTTTAGGGTCAGGTTTAGGTTTAGGGTCAGGTTTAGGGTTAGGTTTAGGGTCAGGTTTAGGGTTAGGATTAGGTTTAGGGTCAGGTTTAGGATCAGGTTTAGGGTTAGGATTAGGATTAGGTTTAGGGTCAGGATTAGGTTTAGGGTCAGGATTAGGTTTAGGGTTAGGTTTAGGGTCAGGTTTAGGTTTAGGGTCAGGATTAGGTTCAGGTTTAGGGTCAGGTTTAGGTTGAGGGTCAGAGTCTCTGGTTTGTTCGTGGGCCTCATCAGTGTTTTTCTGAAGGGACTCTGGATTTGATTATTTAAACCTTCGCTGCACAGAAACAGACTTTATTACCGATGAGCTGGTTTGTTCTGTTTTTGTTCTGGATCTGTGAGGACGGGTCAGAAACAGCTGATCTGGTTTTCTTATTAACAGGAAGTGAGTCCAGCATGGACAGACCTGGACCCGGTCCTTAAAGGAGTTTATTATTCAGCTCTTAATTTAGTGCAGAAAGTTCTGCTTAGTGCCGGAGAGCTGCTCTTGATCAAAGTCATTAGTCACTTGATTTGGACTCTTAGCTGCTGAATAATTGAGGCTGCAGGAGGATAAAGGATTGGACGACGCCGGCTCACTAGTTAGGAGGGATAAGAACTCCCCTCATCGAGAGAGAGAGAGGGGGAGAGAGGGAGGAAGAGGAGAGGAGGGAGAGGAGAGGAGATTAGAGGAAGATTGAGAGGGAGAGTCTGATTTATGCTCTGTCCACTCCAGTGCTGATGAAACATTTAACACTATAATATCTACAAAAACACCTCCCATCTCTGAAGAAGAGCTCCTCGTTTCACCCCTCTCCCCTCTAGCTCCTCGCTCAGACCCTCTCAGGGTTTTCCCGGGAAAAGAGCCGCTCATTCAGAGCTCCGGACTCTCCGCCTGCTTCGCCATGTGAGCGTTTATCAACCCGATAATAACCCTCTGAGTGATCCTCTCTGGGAGCGTGTGATAAACAAGACGATGTTCTTTCTTTGTGCGCTTGTTTTCATCTTCAGCTTCTGATTTATGGCAGCAGTTCATCGGCTTACAGAGCTGTGATCGATTTTCTGGAAACACACGCTGAGAGTCTGAGAGCGCATAAAAAGAAAAGGAGACGTCCAAAAGTGACGTATGATCCCGCAGACAGAGACGGCTGGTGTTCAGTCATGAGACGGACTTCAGGCTTGTGTGTTATCTCTTTATGCAGACGACTTTATCATCTCCACTTCAGCAAAGTGGGCGTGACACGAGGATAACGCAGAGAAATCTTTGTGATGGAAACCGTCTCCTGAAAATCCACCCTTCAGGATTCTGGTCTGGCGGTCTCGTGGTGGTTCTCCAAAGGACTGTTCCTCAGAGGAAAGTCTGCTTTTCAGTGGGGGGGCCCAAAGGGGGCGTTCATTTACAGATACAATACTCTTGGTTACAGCGGTTTGTTTCCAGCCGCCATCTTCCTCTGCTGGTCATCGCCGCCCTCTGCAGCTGTCCTTTTATTAGTTTTATGTACGCGGGTGTAAATCCACTGAGCTCAGCTTTAATCGCTCCAGAGTGGGGGGGTCCGCTCCTCTTTCCTACATTAACAACACAAACTGCAGAGTGACAGAGTTCAGAGTCTGAACACAGGAGTCTGTTTTTACTGATGTGGAGATATTAAGGAGTGAGCGGAGAGGAGGAGGAGGAGGAGAGGAGGAGGTGAAGAGTTCATGATAAACTCTCTTTAGGTGTGAGGAGATCAGACTGAAGAGCAGGTTTGACCTTCATTCCTGCAGCTCTTCACGTTTCTGTGGAGGTCTTCTTATTTTAGCCGAGGGGCCACCGTTAAACATCATCCTGGGCGGGGCAGTCGTGGTTTTTTAACCCCAAAATAAAAAAGATGTCCTTTTCATGATTTCATCTTTTTAAACTCATAGAAACAGAGTTTCTGTTCATGCTGTCTGTTTTTGACACGCTGCTCTGTCAGGTTCCTGAAACACTTCAGGAAGAGTTCAGTGGGAAAAAGACAAAGAGACAAAAATAAAGACAGAGAGACAGTTTTTAACCCGAACCCTGAGACAGAGCAGAGTCAAGACTAAATTGATTTAAAAGTGTTTTTACATAAAGATCTTCCCTCTCAGAGTAAAACAACATCAGGAGCAGGACTTTCTCTGGAGCTGCAGGAGGATTTCTCTTTTCTCTGAGTATCAGATGAACCTGAAGAAAACCTCGTCCTGAACTTTGTGGGTTTAAAGTGATAAATCAGAGTCTAAATCAGGTTTCTGTTGGTATGAAGAGATCAGAGAACAGCTGAGCTGGTAAACAACGACTTCATGAGATCAGAACTTTTTCATCCTGTCAGTGTGACGAGTGATCAGATCTGTCCCCGTCAGAGGAGGAGACGACGCTGTCCTGTCCTCATCTGTCCTCATCTGTCCTCACCTGTCCCCTCTCTCTCTCTCTCTCTCTCTGGTTTTTTCATCTCTTGGTTGACCTGCTTCACGTTCAGACCTCCATGAGTCCTCCACAGTCTTGTCCCGTGAAGCGGATCTGGATTCCTCATGTGGTCCTCTTGTCCCCCCTGCAGGTTGTGACACGGACTTCTGGGGGCCCCACTGCAGTAACCGCTGTCAGTGCAGGAACGGGGCCAAATGTAACCCCATCACGGGGGCCTGCGTCTGCACAGACGGGTACCAGGGCTGGCGCTGTGAGGAACCATGTGACCCCGGCTTCTACGGGAAGGACTGCCTCCTGGAGTGTCAGTGCCTCAACGGCGCCACCTGCCACCATCAGACCGGAGAGTGTCTGTGTGCGCCCGGATACACGGGAGCTTTGTGAGTGGATGATGTTTGTCCTGTGATCGTGAAAACGCGTTCAGGATATTTCAGTTTAAGTAAAAAAAATCAACTTTAAACTTTGGAAATAACGACAAACGTTTCGCTCAGTGTTCAAATTCATCCGTCTGATCTTATAATTCAGGTGGAAATAATGAACATTTGCGTCTCGAGGTTATTGGAAAGTTTGGTTCTGATGAAGTAAAAGTGAATTAAATCCAGATTAGAGCTGCAGCAGAAAACAAATCATTTCCAGGTTGTATTTTCTCTCCGTTTCATTTTGCTCAAAGCCGTTACACGCCGTTCCAAATGCTGTCGAGGTCTTACTCGATTCAAAGATCCTGACATCTGAGATATCAGAGCCTTTTTCTCCTGCAGCTGTGAGGAACCCTGTCCTCCTGGGAAACATGGTTCCCTGTGTGAGCAGCGCTGTCCCTGTCAGAACGGAGGAACCTGCCATCACGTCAGCGGAGCGTGCTCCTGTCCTGCAGGCTGGATGGTGAGATCTTCTGTCAGGAGAAGAAGAGTTTTCATTGAGGACGTCACTGCTGTGAGGTGGACGATTCTAACCTCTGACTTTCTTCTTCAGGGTCCGGTCTGCGCTCAGCCGTGTCCGTTTGGATCATTCGGTATCAACTGCTCTCAGGAGTGTACGTGTCGTAACGGCGGCCTGTGTGACCACATCAGCGGTCAGTGTCAGTGCATGGCGGGATACATCGGAGAGAGGTACGTGTCTGAGCGTCAGCTGATGGATCTTCTTACTGTTTAGAGACGTGGAGCTCCTCTGAGTTCCTTCATGGAGAAACGAGAGATGCTAACGTTGGTCCTCCTGCCAACAGAGTCAGACAAAGTTTGAGTTTGTTTAGTTTAGTTTAGTTCAGTTTAGTTTAGTTTAATTTAGTTTAGTTTAGTTTAGTTTAGTTTGGTTTAGGTTAGTTTAGTTAAGTTTAGTTAAGTTTGGTTTAGTTTAGGTTAGTTTAGTTTAGTTTGAGTTTGTTTAGTTTAGTTTAGTTTAGTTTAGTTTAGTTTAGTTTAGTTTGAGTTAGTTTGGTTAAGTTTAGTTTAGTTTGAGTTAGTTTGGTTTAGTTTAGTTTAGTTTAGTTTAGTTTAGTTTGAGTTAGTTTGGTTAAGTTTAGTTTAGTTTAGTTTAGTTTAGTTTAGTTTGAGTTAGTTTAGTTTAGTTTAGTTTAGTTTAGTTTAGTTTAGTTTGAGTTAGTTTAGTTTAGTTTAGTTTAGTTTAGTTTAGTTTAGTTTAGTTTGAGTTAGTTTAATTTAGTTTAGTTTGAGTTAGTTTAGTTTAGTTTAGTTTAGTTTAGTTTAGTTTAGTTTAGTTTGAGTTAGTTTAGTTTAGTTTAGTTTAGTTTAATTTAGTTTAGTTTAGTTTAGTTTAGTTTAGGTTAGTTTGAGTTAGTTTAGTTTAGTTTAGTTTAGTTTAGTTTAGTTTAGTTAAGTTTAGTTTAGTTTAGTTTAGTTTAGTCACGTTACGTTATGTTACGTTTAGTTTAGTTTGGGTTAGTTTGAGTTAGTTTAGTTACATTTAGTTTAGTTACGTTTAGTTTGGTCACGTTAAGTAACGTTACGTTATGTTACGTTTAGTTTGACTCAGATTCATTTTGGAAGAAGATCAAGTCCTCTAGAATCACCAAAGACCAGGACCATAGACTGTATCTAGAACAGACGTCGTCTGCCTCCTCCTCTCTCTGAGAACAGCGCCCTCTGGTGACGGGCTGCAGTATAGGTCATAAACCCCGCCTCCTTATGGAGCTGTGGACAAACTTTATAAATGAATGACACAGAATATAAATGTTTCTCCCCCCTGGTTGTGATGTTGACATGTAGTTACTGTCAGACTGGTTTGTGCTCAAGTCCTCTTTTTTCTGTACAGCTCCATTTTTAAAAGTTATTAGGGGGTTCATGTTTTCTATGATTGACACCTGATACAGCCAATGGGAGGACA